CACAATAATCCTACCATGGTATGTCAAACAGCATAGCCCTAATAATCTAATGTGCCATGCCACAATAATCCTACCATGGTATGTCAAACAGCACAGCCTCATAATAATCCTTATGCGCAATGCCACAATAATCCTACCATGGTATGTCAAAAAACTCTGGTGTCAAGTTTTTTTTAGTGACCTAGTGCGACCTGTGCAAACTGTTCATTCAATTCTTAGGATTGTTCTGGCTAGGATTATTCAGAAAGTCAACAAAAACAATGGTTTATAATCAAAAAATCATTGGTTTGAGAAGTTTTCAGTATTTTTTGAATAATTTTGACAGTTTTGCCACTATTGAAATTGACACTTTATTGAAACTTTCACAAAACTGTCACTTTTGAAAGTGACAGTTTATTGAAACTTTCACAAAACTATCACTTTTGAAAGTGACAGTTTATCGAAACTTTCACCAAACTTTCACTCACAAAGTGTTACTTTTTTGTTAGTTTATTTTGTTTTTGACACTTTATTGAAAGTTTAATAGTTTCAATTTAAACTTTCAAAAAACTGTCACAAAAGTGTCACTTTCAATAGGAAAGTTTCAATAAACTGTCACTTTCAAAAGTGACAGTTTTGTGAAAGTTTCAATAAACTGTCACTTTCAAAAGTGACAGTTTTGTGAAAGTGTCAATAAAGTGTCAATTTCAAATGGCAAAATTTAATCAAAATGTCTACAAATTGTCACTGTGATACGCTTTTTCAATCAAATTTTCAGCAAAACATGAGTATTGAAACCTGTTGTCAAGTATTTTTAGTCTAAAAAACATTGCTGTTTCTCAAAACTTGATTAGTTTTTGAAGGCACAAGTCTGACATGGGCTATCTTCTGGAGTGGTGTCCCCTGAATGCGACCTCAGTTCTTGAAAAATATAAAGCAATACCATATAATTGAAAAATAAGTCTTCTAGATATATATAATTGAAAAACAGTGGCGCTTTTTTGTAATATTTATTAAGTATAATTAATATTTCTTTTCCTGCACTTGACTTATAGTCTCCACAGCTGCACTTCAGGTTCCAGCATCCTTCAGGCCTGCCAATACCAAAATGAAAACTGGAACAAACATGATTTTCACATGCCAGCCTCATCACCTTCATCTTCATTTTTTCCTTTCTTTGGTTTCCTGATGCAGTGAATCAGTTTAGATGACACACAAAACAATCCTAAAATGCATTCACATCCCAACTCCAAATATTGGTTAAAAAATCCTAATGTTCAGAGGACAGGCGAAATAATCCTGTTAGAAATGGTGATTGTAGATGTCATTAGCAATTTTTTGGGTTGCATTATTGTGGGCATTGGTGCTGGAGAAGTTGCTGCTTCAACCTTGTGATGGCTGAAATGGTAAGAGGTGGACTGGGAAACATAGTTGCTGCTATGCTTGTACTTGTTTGGACTGCCCTAGGTGAGCCAGTTCTAAAAAATTAAACACAAACGGTAAATGCATGGGCACCAATAATCCTAGAGAGGCTTTCTAGTGCACCACAGCTATGCAGCCACAATAATCCTAACCCCTCCTTCACTCTGGTAGCAAAATGCTAAACCACAATAATTCTAGTGTCAAAGGCTGCCCAAATCTCTTGTGCCTACAAGGCACATGTTTGCAAGAACCCAGGCCAAAATAATCCTAAAGAACCCAGGCCAAAATAATCCTATAAAACACTGAGGAGAACAAGGGCCCCAAAAATGCCTCATGTAGAAAAGTTTTTTCCTATTTCATATAACACACATAGGTTGAAGCTCAGCCACAAAAACCCTAAACACAGACATGGGCAGCCAATAGCATTTTTTCCACCTCTAGCTCAACTAGCTCTGCCACAGCGCATTGTGGGCACACCTACTGCTGGTCAAGCTCTCTGGCAACTTTTTGCGAAGCCTTTTTGGCCAGCTCCTTCACTTTCTCTGCAGAGTAGCCAGCCTTCCTGGCCTTTCTCGCAGCTTGGTGCCAGGCATCAGAGGTGGCCCTGTGTCTTGAAGTGGTTTTGTAGAAGGCCTGCTTCTTCTTCTTCTGCCCAGAGGAACCTTCACCTTTTGCAGCTGGTTTCTTCTCTTCCTTCCTAGGCTTTGAGGATTGGCTCTTCTTCTTTTGTTTTCTTTTCTTTTGAGGCACTGAACCATCTTCAAAGGGACAGCCCATCCAGGCTTGCAATTCTTTTCGCTCATCCTCCCCCAATGCCAGCTGCTCATAGGACCTCTTGAAAGCAACGCTTGCAGCAACTTTGCTTTTGGAGCATTCTGCCACCACCTTTGAAGAAGGCATTGCTGCATCAGGCTGGGCATCTGCAATGGCCAAAGCCTGGGTAGCTTGGCCACCTCCTCTGTTTGGACTCAGAGGGTCTGAAGACTGCTTAGATAGAACTTGAGCAAAGACCCGGCTCCTCACCTCAAAAGAAAAGGTTGCTTCAGAACCTGCCACTCTCAAATCCTGAGAGCTAGACTTCCTCTGCAAGGCAGAATCCTGCAAAGCTTCAGGCAAATCATCTGTAGAAGTGCTGGTAGGCTCCAAATTTTTCAACATAGACAAAGCATTGTCCAAATTCTCCTTTTCCTCCTTGCTAGCCTTCTTCATGCATCGAATGTACTTGTCTTCAGACTTCTTCTGCAATGTGCAGCCATGATACGTATGAAATCATCACAATCATTCAGCCAATCTGGGTCATCCATCCTGCTGAAGTTCAGCCTTTGCTTGGTCATTTGGATCTTGTGTATGGCACTTTTCAATTTGGAGGAAGCCATCACCCCATTGCTGTGAATCTTGAACAATCTCCACAGGAGCCTGGAGATGTGCTTTTGTCCCATCCACTCTGCGTCAGGGGCACTTTTCCACTTTGGTTTGCTCTTGCAAGGAGGGAAGAGCAGCTTGTACAAGTCAAAAGACCCCTCTTCTGCAAACATTTTATCGAAAGGCTCCATCAGGTCAGCTATGCTCACACTGGGGTCTGGTGTCAGGCGCTTCATGGCAAACAAAAAGACACCACTCAGACAGTTCTGTGCAAAGCCAAACAGCACCAAACACAGTGCACTGGATGAATGGCCGTGCAATAATCCTAGCCAGAAAAATGCTGGAAGCAAAAGCAGTTTTATAAACCCACAACAACATGTAGTACAGCTGGATCTCAATAATCCTAGAGAAAGGACATGGGCTGTGCAAAACACCATTGCAACCCACACGACTGGAGACCAATAATCCTAAAGGAAAGACATGGATGCACAAAGAATTCCCCACTGCAAATGCATGGTTTGTGTTTCAACCCTATACACAGATGCCTTTGATCAAGCACTTGAATGTCTTCTTTTTTGGCATCAAACACCAAAATTGACTTCAAAATTGACTTAGATTTTGTCTTTAAAATTAACTTTAAGGCAATTTTTTTTATCTAAATAGTTAAAAAATTGTCTTTTGTCTCAAACCCTAAAAATTGTCTAACCCGATCTATAGGGCATGTTTTAGGGGTGTCATAATAGTCTACTTTCAGTAGTCTACTTTCTATTCAAAAGATGTTTTGAACACGGAAGAGCAAATTATTGAGTACTCAAGATCCCACAGGACTGGGTGCGAATCCATTTCACTGCCAAGTGGGGTTGTTGTGAGATCTGTATTCCCTGGCCTGGTGGAAGAACCTTCGAAGTACGGAGGTACCTACATGAAGACTTGCACGGTCCAGCTTGCGATCCGACCCACCAACATGGAAGTGTACTATGGCCAATTGGTAAGACTACAAAACAGGTGACCATGTGACCATGTGATGTATTGGAAGGAGGGCGGTCAGTCGTTTGCTTCCCCAGTACCCAGTATACCCATTGAATACCCAGAATTACCCAGAGACGTGTTGCACAGTTGGAAGATGCAGGTAGAGCGAATTTCCCACCATTTTGCAGGAGCTGCCATGCCTTTTTTCGCATCAATTCGTTTGGCAAGCACACCCCATCTACCTGTCTCCCTGTCACATGAAACACCTCAAGTAGCAGCACTTTGTCGTCATCGACATTTATCAACAGTTGCTAAAAACAGGAGTATCGAACAGAAAGATGCTTTCTGTGCGTTCCGAACGTGCTTCTCTTTGCTTTCACCGGTGCTTCCCTTCGTGCTTTTTTGGGCCAAACAACCGTCCCCTTGCGAGTTCGCCCTCGCGGCACCACGCTGCTCGACGTCGCGATCGGGACCTGCGCCACGTCGTCCACCCGGTCGTCAGGCCAAATCCTCGAAGAAGCTGCGCAGCAGAACGGAAGCGACCGAAAACGAGAGGGGAAAGCAGAAAGAAGGACTGGGGGACGGTCTGAAAGGTCTGTGGTTACGAAAAGGTCTGTGGTGAAAGCGGAATATTCGTATTTTCAGGACCCTATAGCCTTCCAAGACCATTAAAAGAAAGGTTGACCTGTTGTAGTGAAAATTCCTGAGTAAAACAATGATGTCCGGTTGAATTAAATCCTCGAAATCAATGGTTGGAAGACTAGGGAGTATGTTTCAGTTTCTTTTTTTTCTAAGCTTCACTTTAGATGAACCCACTAGACTCATATTGTTCGTTTCATTTTTGCTGAAACCACCAACAAGCTGTGGAAGTTCAGTGGAAGCCGGCATCGCCAGTTTGAACAAACTTCAGGAGCTTCGCACGCGGATGGAGATGTCGAGGACTGTTGTGTTGCACATGTTTGTGAAAATGCTGCATGTGAGACGTCCTTTCCCTGTCCGAAAGTGTTCTATTGTTCTAAGTATTGTATTGTGTGAGACCAAGTGACACTTGTTTTCCTATATTATATCTTATCAATTGCATATCGGGTATTGCAGACCTTCTCAATGTGTCAATGTGCCAAGTTTTTCTTGGGATGGTCAATATAGGCATATATATACCCTAGCATTCCAACGACCAAAGAATAAATGGCCTTGAGCTAACGACCATACATTCTTTGGTTATTAGATGTGGGGTGGTTTTGTTGCTCTCAGGATCACTGAATCTCACAACACGTTTCAATCAAACTCTCGATACCGACATGTTTTCCGCAACACTTTCTTTTATTTCCCCATCGCTCTGCGAGCTGCGCTCCGGTTAAGCTTCCGCACCCGCCAAGACATGGACATCAAACGGAGGCGGGCCAAGCGAACAAGCTTCTTTTCAAGCGTAGCCCGCTGCCGAATTTTGGAACATGCCCCTTTGGCCCAACCTATCGAATCCTCGTCTGCGAAACAATGTTCAAATCTGCTGTTGGATCCTTGGGCAACAAAGTTAATTGAACAAAAACACATCGAGATGCATTGAACATACTAAGGTTGCAATCTCACTGCACACCAAGAAGCTCAACCGTTTGGTCTTGGAAAGGACGTGATCAAATGCCTTAACACTGTTCAACACATTCATACAAGGGCAGATTGAAACTCGACAGCAAACTCAGCCAACAAAATTGCACAAGGAGCCAAGGAGCATGGAATTTTGGCTTTAGAAGCCAGGCCAACTCTTGTCTCCTGCCAAGAGTTCACCCCACAACTCAATTATCCGAAACCTGACCAGATTCATAACACAACTGGCCTGATGTGCATAGCCGTCAGTACCCGGTGCTGCTGCAAAAACATTTGACCAGCGTCATATATGTTGTTCGCTTCTTCCTGGGTCCTTACACTCATCCCAAACCAACATCAACATTCTACACATTTAGTGTTTTCAAAAATAAATCCAAGTATTTGACACTGAGCATCAGGTTTCGCCCAGCACGTTCTGTGAAGACAAACCAGCGGCAAATTGCAATCCTTAATTGACAAATCTTTGGCCACTCATCGACATTTCCAGAAACATTAAGTCATATTGAGTACAACAATTCTTGAATTAAGTTTCATTGCCAACGCCTGTGGCGCAAGCCTGTCATCGACTGGCCAAGAATTCATCCTCCCAGATGCAATTTCATCTCGAATCCATTGGCCAAACGGCCTGTGGCCTCCAGGATCTTCTTGCGCCCAGGCCATGCGAGAAATTTCAGCCAGCCACTGAGCAACGCAACGCCCATTGTGAGCTTTACATGAAAGGTATGCACCGTGAATCTTCTTCCAGAACTCAGCTATGATCTTAATCTAAATATGTCACATGTTTTTAACCCAACAATGTCAAACAAACTCCCAAAGAACTTAATCTAAATGATTGCACAAAATGTTATCTAGAATCCAAGTAGCTAGGCCTGGGGTGAAACGCCGTTGCGAGCATTGTACACGATTTACGGTCCGCCAATACAAAAAGTCATCGTACGCGAGACTAAGTTGTTCGCGAAGTTCTCCATCCCCAAAATATTTCAATGAGATCAATGTGTTCCTTAGACAACATAGGCCATGAATACATTGTAGAAACTCCCTAAAGAAACAAAAGAGCGCGCATAGGTCGGAAAATAATAAACTTGTTGAAATGTGAAAGTTGCAATGTCCCACCATTGGCGGTATGGAGTAGTCCTAAATTCACGATGTGCATGGTGCACCCTTTGAGAAGATCTATCGAAAATCCCCATAGGAGAGCCAGTGGACCTTAATTTGACAAAGTCAACACACCTCTAGTGCTAGAGAACCAGAACATGTTTTTGAGCGGAACCTAAAAAACATCAAACAAACACACAATCTAAAACAATGTTTTCAAATTTGACTTGGTCTCATAAATCTGTGGGAGGAACGCCTCTACTCAGAAACTCAATGGTTCCAATCTCTGTTCCTTTCCAGGACGCTGACTCGCCAATTTCATAATAAAATGGCGCCCGCTTTGACTGAGCACCGCATTGGTAGCAAACCTGGTTTGCCTTCCACCAGTTCACGTGCTTCCAAACATCACGATGCCATACTTGATCCCCCCGAAGCTGTGCGACAATGAACCTGCGCCCAGCCACCCCCCTGTAGGCCACATTCAAGTTCTCGACAAGGGCGCACCAAATGGGATGGAGGGTTTTTCGCCCTATCATCCTGTGACTGCTAATACCGAAGACCATGAATTTGCTAAGCCGAACAGAGCATGGTCGCCAGAGAGGTAAGTCTAGAAATATTGCAGTTATTTTTGCTAAGGGTGAACCAAACTCAGCTCCATAGTGGGCTTCATCACCGTAGAGACCAAGAGGCATCAAGCGGTCGGCTCGGCCATTGCATTCTTTGGCCCAAGGATCACCAACACTTTCCAAATGGTCCCAGAATTCTGTTACAGCACGTTCCGGAATAGTTAGATCTGTGGAGAACAAATATTCCAAAATATCTGTAGGCCGAAGCAGTGGAAGTTTCATAGTTGTTGTCTCACCTTTGTCATTGTAGATAGGGACTTCAACATCGATGGGCTCCTCCAAGGTGCATTCTCTTGACCAAATGGTTTGGTGACTTTGGGACACTACAAAACGAATATGATTTAACCATTCAAAAAATATGTTTGGACTCCCAATCCACTGGAAGATTCACGCTTCTCCAAAAGTCCCGGGACTCATTCTGGTGAGCTTTGTACCTGGCAAGTTTCTGCACCCACTGTGAAGAATACCCGCATGAGTCCTTGGATTTTCGTTTTCCGACAGAGAAGATATTTCAATCATAAGGTGTATGATCCAGTGGAACTTGTCGTCAACATGTCTTTGATATAATCGATAAAAAAACAACACTAAAATAACTCTAAAGATGGTCGCCATACTGGACTCGACACCTTCGCTGCTGCTCGGACCGTGGCCATGCACGATTGAACACTGTGGACCTCAGACGCAGAGGACAGAATCCGATAGGGTGGGATGGGTGGGCCAAATGATTGAGTACGTTTGAGCCCCCTACGCCTGATGCAAGCTTATCAATGGAGTCCTGCAAAAGAGGGGCTGGTTCATTTTGCTGACCTGCGCAAAGGGACCAGCCAATATGAAGTGAACGTAATAGTGCTTCCATGTCAGAGGTTCATTGCAGGTTTGAATCACTCTTGATAGACGTAGTTTTTTTCCTCACTTCAAATCTATGTGGCTTCCCGGGACAGTCATTGAGTCCCCATGTGAAGCTTGCCCCACTTTCGGAGGCCAGACATCGCACAGCCTCACACCCTTCAAGCTTCAACCAAAAGACTTATTGCACTACCCAGGTTTTGCCTTCGGCATACCCACCAAAAAGCCAAACTATGGCATCGCTGCTCGTGACTCATTCCTTTTTGGTTTTGATCCTCTTGATGGGATCCACTGCAGAGTCATAGGCAGTACTCGATTTGTTCAACGATTCGATCAGCTCAGTCAAAGCGGAAACCTGCAAACACAATGAAAAAAACTAAACTATCAGAGATTGTCAAAGCTTATTAACAGTTCGAGTTCATGGGACATTCAAGGTAAAGAGTTGATAGGACTGGGTCAAGGTTGCTTGCCTCATCCCGCTCAACTGCATCCCGAAGAGCCACGCGGTTGGCTTCCAAATCAGTAGCAGCATTTGTCACATCAATCACGATAGCATCTTTGTAGTTGCCGACCCTTGGCACATCGGTGTATCCCTGTATTCCATTCGTCAAAGATTGAGTTCAAAAGTTACGGAAAAGCTACGATGTCACAGTTCGAGTTGGTTGGGGTCCGTGCGCGTTCGCATTCAACTTCTCCAGGAGAGCGTCTTTCCCCTTGAGCTTGGCGATAGCCAATCGAAGTGCCTGGGACAGATTGGAGTGGGTGAAAAGTCACAGGTGACGGGTATATAATATAGGCCTTTTTTGCATCAGCCACCAGCTGCTTGTTTGCTTCCTTCTCAAGTTCCTCTGGAGTTTTGGCCTGTGGAATGCAATTTCAAAAAAAACATATGGCAACAATTGAAATTAGTTCAAGTTGATGATATATGTGCTACCGTACTATTCTTGCCTCCTTCTCCTTTTTTTCTTTTTTGGTCTTGTTCTTTCCCTTGGTCTTCTTGGCTTTCTTCTTCTCTTTCTTGTTTTTCTTACCCTTCTTCTTGTCCTTTTTCTTCTTGTCTTTTGAATTGCTCTTCTCTTCAGGTTCTGTTTTTTCTGCCTTCTCTGCCTTCTCCTTTTTGTGTTTGCGTTTCTTTCCCTTTGAGCTACTGGAGCCCGATTCACCAGACTCACTGTCGGAGCTGCTGGTTGAACCATCCTCAGCCAACTGGAAGAGCGACGAAACCACTTGCTCCGTTTTGTCCTGTTCCACATCCTCGTCAAGGACGAGGTATTGCACCAGCTCCTGCACGTTTCCCAGTGTGATAGGAATCATACAGTGACCGTGGGTGAACAAGCATGACGTGTATGTTCTAGATTAGTATAGTCGATATGTTGTTTTGAAAAGCAGTCATCCCACCTCACAGTCAGGTGCTTCGGGATGTCGTCGCATCTCCAATAGCCTCTCTGCCTCTGGAAGGTCCAGCTTGCGCTGGATGATGTGCTTACCTGCTTCCTCACCAAATCTGGAGTAAATTTCCAGCTTGGTCATCCACCTGCGCTTACCCAATCTACCTTTTGTTGATTTCATCCTGATTGACAAAACCAGCTTGCTTTTGTTCCAGTCCCCAGAGCAACTCAGGTATGACTCGAAGAGACAGGTGTTCTCAGGTGAGCCTTAGGAAACACAAACTATTGAACAAATATCAAACAAGGGTCACGATAGTTTGTTCATGCACATATATGCATCAAGTTACGCCCGCCATCCAATTGCTTTGCCATTTTCCGAATCTCTGGTGGTGCATTGGGACCTTATGAACAAATTGGAACTTGCAGAATGCAAACTTGAACATCAAAGCTGGCAAACAGATTGAAAAAATTGTTGAGTCCCACACTTCGAATCGATCGGTAGTATCGCATCCACACACGGTGGTATTCCTTGTATGCTGCGGTCTCTTTGCGTTTCTGCTTGGGCTGCTCAGTCTCGCCTCCTGGCTGTGCCACTTCTGCCAGGGACTCCTGCTGGGGCTGCTCAGTCTTGCCTGCTGGCTGCGCCGCTTCTGCCGGGGACGCCTGGGGCTGCTCAGTCTTGCCTGCTGGCTGCGCCGCTTCTGCCAGGGACGCCTCAGGCTTTGCAGTCTCAGCACTGGTTGGTGCTGCAGGAGAGGTACTGGTATCCTTTGATGCTGAGCTTTCTGGGGATGTACTTGGTGTTGATGAGATCGTGCGGGCATGCTCGGGTGTTTCCTCCAGCGACCATACATCAACTGTGTTGACGCGATTCAGCACATCATCCCAGGAGACCGCCATGCGTGAGTCCACTGAGCACACTGATGACAGGCGACATGGAGGTGTCCGCAGCACATCATCCTCACGCTCATGCCAGGAATGCCTGCCCCACCCACCAGAGCCCCAGCCCCATCCCTGCCACCCCGACCAATCCCGTCGACCATTCCAACTCCACCAATCATCACTGTTTGACTGGTTCGTGTCCCACCAAGCCCCGCCCCACTGGTTTTCCCATTCACCCGCAGGAACCATCGTTGAATCCTTTGGATCATCCCAGAAGCCTAAGTCGAGGGTCCTGGCAGTGAGCAGTAGTTGATCCGCACTTGGGGCGACACTTGCTGTGCCTGGTGCTTCTGCCAATGATCGAGCCTC